AATGTTTGGAGGGAAGAGCAGGAACTACTACTGCTACCATATATATGTTATAGAAGATGACGTAGAATGTTTGGAAGGAAGAACACGAACTATTACTACTTCCTTGCAGATATTAATACCAGGTAAAGGGATGGCAGCCAAAAATTATCTGTAATGTTATTTATTTCATTACTAGCAATTAGTTATTGTAAATGAGCCATAGGCTCTGCCATCTTAGGCATGTCTAAATGTATAGCACTGCCGTTGAACTATAATGTTTCACGACTTTTGGACATTTTGCTTACTTTGCTAAAGTTGACCAAAGTTTTTGCTTGTGATAAATAAGACTTTTGTATTAGTTCTTTAGAATATTACAGCTAGTGGTATGTTACTTTGCTTGTGATAAGTACTTTTGTATTATTTCTTTATAACATTGTCTCCCTCTGGGTCAACAATAAGCTAACGGAGTTATAACACCAAAATCCTGGGTTGGATTATCAGCGGTAGACAGCGCAGATAGGCCATTGTGTGAACAGAAACAAACTTTAAAATATTATAGCCAATGGTAATTAGTATTATTAGTTTTCCATTGGAATCGCAATTTTTTACTAAGCTTTAACGCCTGTAATTACATATGAGTTTGTAAGAAACTGAGCATTACAATACAAATTGCAGTTGCTTCTGAACACGAGGCTTCCTTGTTGTTGAATAGAATCAGGATCATAAAAGCCAAATGTCGGTCAGTCACGCTCGATTTCTCCGAAGTTTTTTAGTTACACGAGTCCAATTCCACATTTTTCCTATTTTATATACTTCCTCTTTTGATTGTCCGTTCCCATTTTAGTTGAATTTAATCGCGAACATAAACGTAAATAGCTCTAAATTTCGGCACATTTTCTGCTATGTAAAAGCCTGTCAAGGAGGGAGTTCCCAGGACTAGATCAGGCATGGCGTTATGTGTGTGACACCACATCTTCCACATCATTATGACGTCAAGCTAGGCAGGATCCGAAAAGGAAAGCCGAGAAGACTCCTTCAAAAAAATAAGTCAAAAATTAGCGCAAATCTATGTTTGAGAAGTATTACAAAAAAAGCCTTTGTTAAAACAGACTGAATATACTTATTATCTGTAGGGAAGAAGAGATCAACTTTTCCTCAGAATAGGCCCGACCCGCAATCTGCGAGTTCGAATCCCCGTCTCACCAAACATGCTCGCCCTTTCAGCCGCGGGGGCGTTATAGTGTGACGGTCAATCCCACTATTCGTTGGTAAAAGAGTAGCCCAAGAGTTGGCGGTGAGTGGTGATGACTAGCAGCCTTCCCCCTAGTCTTGCATTGCTAAATTAAGGACGGCTAACGTAGATAACCCTCGTGTAGCTTTGCGCGAAATTCCAAACAAACAATGACCATTTGATTGCAATCACACCTGTTCTTCTGTTTTAATCTTTATTCAAAGGCACCAATATGTAGCATGTTTGCTCAGTTATATGTAATGGACTCAGGAGTAATATATAGTATGTTCCTAGGAAAGGAAATTTTATATTTCATTTATTTATTTCTTTTGTGTATTGCCAGTTTTATACGGAATAGTTTTGGTTTCCAGTATATGAGTGGCAGTCGAAAGGAACGTAAAGGTCAACCAGCAAGGTAATTACACTTCTCACTTATAAATGGCAGAACAAACAGAGATCTTTTTTTGCATGATTTTTTAATTGTTATTCCCATTCTTCCAACTCTTGTTTTCCCTTAAGATTCACATTATACAGACTAAGACCGTTACAAATTTCAGAAATACCACAATAAAAATGCCCTTCGAATAAACGTGTTTCACATAGCGTTGTTATTGATAGAAACTCGTAAAATTAGTTTTTTACTGCTAGAGAATGAATAAAGCTGTGTACTTGATTTGTAAGATGCACAGCCATTACTCTTTTTTTTTATTCTGTAACAATATTGGGTATTACTGATTTAGTTTTTCTTCTGTTTGTTAATAAGGAACATTTGTACCTAAAGATTTTGCTCGGTTCAGGATAAGTATGTAGTTCCAAGATGTTTATCACGTCGGTTGTTCCAACGGTGAATTTTCCGAACGAAATAAATCTTTGTGAACACCACCAAATTCTCGAGAAGTAAGATACACCACACACGCGCGCACAACAACAACAACAACAAAAAAAAAAGCTGTTCAGTGAAAAGTTTTTCTGTACATGAAATGAAATAGCCTTATTCGAGTCTTCGGAGAGACTGAAGTATTCCACGAGAGCCGAACGGAGTCATGTGACTAGTGGTAGTTGAGACGTCATCTCTGTCATGTGACCTCCGGTTCAGCACGAGACAAGTTATACAAGCAATGATGATGCACAGTTGTACCAACACAGCAGAAATAACAGCAGCAGCCACAACTGTCTTGCTCGTACAAATTTCGTTCTCTCCGTTGTTTCCTAAAAAAGATTAACACAAAGAAGCATAAGATATAAAACTACAAAGGAAACTGTCAATTTCCCGAATGCGTACGTTAATTTAAAGTACTTTACGGCAACAAAAATCTGACAGTGGATGAATTAGTAATTTATTTATTAGTCTTATAATGAAGACCGCAAAATTTTAACGTGTTCTGATATTACGTTGTTTGATCTAAAATGCTGAAAATCAAAACATTTTAATAGCGTGGTATGATGCGCCTAAGTTGACGAAACAAATATGTTTATTTAGCAAAAGCAATAAGTATCATGTTTGACTGTTGGTATTTTGATTAATATTGTTAACAAAATTAGTATGCTGATGTAAAACCTTTAAAGTATAACCCTTTTGGTAAGTTTATACTTTATTGTACTGAAAGGGTCGTGTCGTCTTAGATCAGGAACACAATCAAACAGTGGATTTCACGAATGACAACACAAATTTGACATAATGTATACGTTTTTTCAGTGAGTCTTAAAATTTTAAGTTTATGGACAGAATTTTATAAAGTACAATTGCAAAATCAGTCTGAAGATCTGGTAAAAATTTCTGCTTGAGAAAAGCGTGAACATGAACAAACCTTAGAACTTAAGCAGAACTCAACCGTTGGCCTGCATAAAATGAATATTAAAAAAGGAAGCAACGCAATGTTATACTGACAAAATGAGTTTTCCCATCTATCAGTGACTTGTTAAGTTTGAGAATTCTGAACTGACGAACCACACTACGGAAGGAAATACGAAGTGTTAAATACGCTAATGACGAAGTGTTAAATACGCTAATGACGAAGTGTTAAATACGCTAATGACGAAGTGTTGGTCCACGAACTACAGGTCATTTCCAATACAGTAAATACGTTGAAACCAACGATCAGTTACAGTTAAATCTAACATTCAGTCTTTAACTATACGTATGTGAAGGTACTGCGAGTAATCGAGAATTTAGGTGTAAAACATCCGTACTGAAACACAATGGTGAGTTGAATGTTGACGTAACTAATTCATTTATTTTAGTAAAGACAGGCCATATCTAATTAATATTATATAACAATAAGAATATCTTTATTCGCGTGTTGGGCCAATGCGATTTTACAAGAAGACTGGATTTAAATAGTATTATAAACATACGTAACCCTTTGTTGCATTGTGCCATAGGGCTCACTACATCATATCTGTATACAAGCGTGTGTTGTGCCATAGAACCTACACCATATACTAACCATTGATCTGTATGGTTTGGGGATAAATCGTTTTATTTCTGCTACTGGGGTTCTGTCACGTGTACTCTGCACATACGTATTATGAAGCCAATTAAATTGTCTAACTGAGAGAAAAACGTAGAAAACTATTTTTAAGTTTCACGAAAAGATAAACTAATATGATATCACAAATCTAAGATTCTTCCATGAAATTATAAACAACGTGTTTTAGTTCCTTAAAAACTCTCGGGACGGCTGGATACGATGTCAAAGATTTAGTTCGAACGTAATTCATTATCGGTCGTTCAATCAAACCTTATATCCAAACAAAACGCAAGCTCACCCGTGTCCTTTGTGACGTCATCATCTTTTATTCTTGTGACGGATATTCCTTCAACAATAATCTCTCTCTGCAACGGGTAGTCGGGTAATATTGGAAAGGGGGACTCTTCCGTCCTGCGACGCCTTCTGCGTCCGTAGGAGCTCGAATCACCGCAGGAAACGGGGTCACATTCTTGAAGGCAAAACTGGACGTTTACTTGAAACCGGACAACAACATCATCGGAAAATTTAAAGGCGTCAAACTTCCCTTGCAAAGCTTTTGTTTCTGGGACTTTTTCTAGACTTGGAAAAATGCTTGGGTCGGTAGGACATCTATAGAAGAGAAGTTGAAAAATTAACGTACATCTTTTTATGTGTATGTTATTACACAGCAAGGGATTTCCAAACTATTCTCTGTTAAAGATAACTTCAGAATTACCAATAGTGGGGCCCTTTTAGGCTTTTTAAACATTTTCGAAGCTAGATATTTAGCAAATTGCATGCGGGTTCATAACTTTGTTATTAAAGGATCCCTTATATCATACGATTCTCATGCACATACAAAACCCATCTATATTACAATTAATCCCACTAATTACGGCTGGGGACTCTAATCTTACATGGAAGACAAGTGATTTTCATCTAATTCTGGGGAGTCAGTTCTTTTACCCGCATGTTGTAACCAGCAAAAACATAAAGTTACTTAATATGATGCAAAATGTGGATCCACCGGTAGTGAACGTTATAAAAACACCTCGGTAATGTAAGGGTTAACATGATTAATCACAATGAGTAACACTAGCGTAACGGCCTAAAGTGTCGGTAATATCCGTAGGGAAAAAATTGTCGTCCTGTTTATGTGACGATGTATACTATTGTAAACAGTGTGTGCGATATGTTTGTGTACAGCAACTTTAGACTAACAATTAATGTACGAATTAGGTTACGTGTTTAATATGATTGTTTTGTAGTATTATTTACTCTTTTAATTACAAAATTTTAAATCTGACTATGGAAAACATGATCCAGCATATTTAAAAAAGAAAAACGGAACTTCTGTTTTGATTTCAGAAAATAAATACATAAAAAAATATTCCGCTTGATAGAAAAGTTAATAAAGAAACAATGAAATTAAATGAAAATATTATAGGTTATAAACACGACTTTTCTGTGTGTGTGGGTATGGCTCTGTATATTGGAGAAGAGCGCCGAAGCGGGCGAGGTGTAATTGCTTTCAGTGCAACACGTGAAAAGTAAAGCTACTTTGATGGTATTTCTAGTTTTTATTGTGATTTGGATATAATTACAAAAATAATCGTAGTATAGATACAATGATTGATACATGCTGAAACAAAACTAAATTGCTTGTTTTTCATCTGTGTTTTTCATAGTACATACAGTATTTCTTAGGTGCTATATAATACACAGGTATTAAATATTATACTATGAAAAAAAATAAAGATTTAGGGATAATAAACTTCGACAGGTACCGAATTTATCAGCACTGTCTGGGGATGAGCAACTCACCCGTTGTTGTCTATTAGAATAATATAGTCGTCATCGCGACCATTTCGTGCTACTAGATCTCGTGCAAGTATTCCAAAGACACCTATGGGTTCATAATAACAATTATATTAATTAAGATTTACAAAAAGGAAAATAATAATAATTGAAATTAGAAAAAACAATTACGATATCGAGTCTCTTAAAAAATTAGAAGTGGAAACAAAGAAGTAAAGGAAAAGATAACTTCGGTTACCCAAAATTTCAAATAAAAAAAAATCTAAAACATTTCGTTTTGCTGAAGTGAGTGAATTTTCGCACTAGTCAACCTGTATCGTCTCCATGTTGTTCTGTACTTAAAATGGAAAAAAAAATATTGCCTGATGTTTTTTGAGCCGAATTTCTATGAAATATTTCACTCATTTGTTTATGTTGCCATTCTTTTTAAGATGTGCTAATCCAACTGGAAACTAAACTGGACTAGACTAACATGAACATAATATATAAAATCTATTATTATGGGATTTTAGGACGTCCAAACAAGAATACTACACAGAGGCGTATTATGAGTCAGGCAGGCCTTGGGCTAAATTTTTCTACCGGGCCTATTATGATTGCGATTAGAGATTAAAAAACAACAACAACAACTAAACCTCATAACGGGCCTGGGGTTATAGCCGCACCTTAATCCGCCCCTAATACTACAAAGTAATTGAAGCT